ATACATTGCAATGTATCTAACCTTTGCTCTCCACATGAACCCTGTTCCTGAGCTCAGCATTCTTAGTGCTTGAGGCAATAAGTTGACAGAGAAGTCACTGGAAGACATTTTTCCCTCTTACAGATACCCCTCCTTGCTTTATACATGGCTGTATAATGTGAATAATATATGAATGATGACTTTCCATTCATAAGTTGTTCATCCCTTGGAATGATCTAGCATCCAATTCAAAGCTTCCTTTCTTTGCTTGTTCACAGGAATTGTGTGTGTGTGTGTGTGTTTAGAGTGACAGTTCTGGAGGACATCTTGGATGTTTAAAACCTCCTCTACCCAAGCCCCAGCTTACCTCATAAGACCAGACACACTGCACTCCTGCAAATCTTCGCACACATCTGCCGATCTCCACGTCCTCATGGGTAGTATACATCTCTCGAAGGCATTCCCCAATGTGAGGGACCATTCTCCGAAGCACTTCTCGGCTCATGATTACCCCTGGGCCCCCCATGCAGAAGTTTTCTCCGGGTTCCAGAGCCAGCTTCCCCATTTCTTCAGTCGTACCTAGCCCCGTCTGCCCAAGGAACAGGGGCTCGCTGCTATTCAAACTCCGCAGGAAGTTCTCCAACCTGTCTCCTTTAACATAAACATCGTCATCAGCTCGCATGAACCACTCATATTTGTCCAAATAGTGGTCATGCATGTACTTGAGCATCATAAACGATTTCTTCTGTGGTGGGTAAGAGTCATCTACTCCAGGTAGCGACACAATGGGGATCGGAAGGGAGGTATCTGAGCCCTCGCTGGAAAAGAACTCCACCTTCCCAGGGATTGTGCTGGACCACGTTCTGCGGAGGAAGAAACCAAAACCAAGTAAAAAAATTACTGAATTTTTTACCCTACCTTTCGGGCTACTATTGCCCAGAACATCTGAGGAGAAAAAGACAGGAAAGACAATAAGCATAGAAAGACAATTTCTGACTATGAATTCTGGGAATCACAACACATCACACCCCATGTTGGAGAAGGATGCCTAGACTGAAGCAACGTAGGGATGTCTATGATATCCACGTGCCAAGGAAATCTTTCCTGGCACCCACTCTGTTTTATGATTCCTTTTTCTATTATTTTAAGTAACATGAAGCCAGAAGGAAGTGTAGAAGGCTGGGTGGTGAAGCACTATCTTCTAGCATCATCTTTACGTTGCAGGATGCCCCAGATAGCCTGCATTAAAAAAAAAAAAAAGCTTTTTGCAAGACAGATGCTTTGTTTGTGAAAATATAGTTACTTTCCAAGAAAAAAAAAAAAGATGAAAAGTTTAGGGAAGACAGACCTGATCATTAGGTTTTAGTGCATCTTTGCATTCTGTCCGTTTCTTCTGAATACCTTTTTTTTAATGTATTTATTTTTATTGCTTTTAAAACAATAAAAGAGAGAAAAACAAAAAGGAGCAAAACACAAAGATACATATATGGTCAAGAAAAAGTACATAGCAAGTACTTTAAAAAACTGAAAAAATACAACAGAAAAAATAAAAATATAAAATAAAATATGGTGCTACAACAGTAAACAGTTACAATTCTATATAGAGCTATCTAATGCAAACGTTATGCAAGTGAATATGTATTTATTTCTAACGCACTTATATAACTATCATGCTTTTTTTAACCTACTGTATTTTGTATAAATGAGTCCCATGCATTTATCTTCCCAGTGGTGCAATATCAGCCTTTCCTTCTGAATATCTTACTGAAATCCTGTCTAAATGTTAACAGTCCTAAATACAAAAGATTTGACCGCTGATGTCTCTGCCATTCTTGAGCATTTTAGTCATGGCAGAACCTAGCAAAGGGAAACAGAGGCATAGGGCAGGGTTCCTCAACCTCAGCAACTTTAAGACGGGTGGACTTCAACTCCCAGAATTCCCCCCACCCGGATTCTTGGGGTTGAAATCCACCCCTCTTTAAGGTGGTTAGGGTGAAGGACCCCGCCCCATTCCTCTGT